ACCAGTAGAAAAAAAGAACTAAAACATTATAATTATAGTTATATTCATTTTAATCTCATTCTTTCTGTATGATTTTACTTTTAATCTTTTAAAGTGTATTTGGAAGTATAAGTTGTTTTTTTAAATTATCTGCCTCTGGAGTTTTGTCATTTTAAAGAATCAAGAGCATGAAAAAAATTAGAAGAATGAGGGTCAGTGCTAAATTACGAACTTGAGTTTATCATTGCCATAAGCAGGCATTCAAAGAGAAGAAAGACCAAGGTGAGCAATAGAACTCTGGGAAGACTTCTCTTGGGAAGATGTCTCCCAAGAAGTGGGACTGGAGCCTGGCTAAAGAACAAGGAGGGAGGAAACGGTTCAATACAAAGAGGGTATCTGCTAGGAACTGTCCTGTCTGTGTCACCCACATTACTGGTCCCCAACACTGCCACCTCACCCCCCACCTCCAAGGACCCGCCATCACAGGGAGGACACAGGGTCTTGAGGAGTGAGGAAAGAAGGACCTAACAGAAGACATTCGAGACCCTGGCCCTAACATCCCCAATCCTGTTGCACCAACACATTTCAATACACAGCTCCATTTCCAAATATACACCAGAAAAGTAGATGAGCATGAATATAAGGCTATGAATATAAGGCTATTTATTACTGCATACTTCAGACATACCTACCTGCTCTCACAGATCATGTTGCCCAACTTCTTAATAACTCTTTGGGACCATCATTTCTTTTCTTTTCTCATATTTAACTTCTTCAGGTACTAATACCTGAAAACATGTCTCATTAATTTCCCTTACGGCCTTGAATTGCTATTGGTACTGAAAGCACAACCATTTTTACAGAGGCATATGTGATGCATCCCTCTTTCTGTCTACACTTATGATGATGTTGAGGCCTGGAGAACTCAATTATCCTCAATTATCTTCCATCCAGCACTACAAACCCCATCCACATCCCCAACTGGTTATCTACCTTGCCCTCTTCCAATCCATCCTGCAGAACAAAAGCCATGTTACACTTCCTAAGGTCCACTGAAATCATATCCCACATGTTTCCAAATCTTCTGATAGATTGCCAATACCCACAAATAAAATATTTGAAATAGATTGGTGGGGAGGTACTCCAGAGACTAGCCCCTCCAGTAATTCTCTGAATCTAGCGGGAAAGATATGGCTACACCAGTGGTTTAACAGTACCTCCACTATTTGATATGGTTTTGTTTTATGCTCCTGCATCATGCTGATGGGAATATAACATATCCCCCTGGGTGTTCCAGTAGTAAACAATGACTGAGGACCACTCATCTAGCCCAATACTTATGTTAGAGATGAGGAAGGGAAAATACAAATGCTTCAGCCTGGTTGTGCAGGTCCTGACCAACAATAGAGCTTTACAGTTTATTTCCTATTCACACACTCAGGCTCTTGCTAAACCGGGTTACTTAAGACTGCCCACACTTTAAAATCAGTGCCTTAGTTCATCCTCACTGTCCACATGCTCATCTAGGAAGCTTAGGCCCACACCAACTCCCCCAAAAGGATATGATCTCGATCTCCTTTAAATCTCCACTATCCTTTGTACCTCACTTGTAGCATTCAGAAATTACCAATATACTGAAAAGATATTTGACACTGATGGAAATAAACATTGCCAAACCAGTAACAAATTCTGCTTCAGATAAATCTACAGTTCATTCATGGCATCTATGCCACTGGCCTGCACCGTCAGAACCCTTGGAGGACAATCACTAACTTTCCCAAAACAACATCAGCCCTTTTGTTTTCTTTAGTCGTCAGAGGTTCCAAATATCAAAATTCCAGCTAACTATTCTCAGAAGTCTCATACAAGTTAAAAGCAAGAACTATTCTATTTCAACTATGATTTAAATTTTTTAAATTAGCAAATGCTTCATATTTCAAGGTACTCTCACAACTTTACCAAATGCTTATTCAAAATAGGTTTTCTATACAATCCTCAAGATATTGGCAGAGTATGTCATAAAAATCTGCAGGCTGAAATAACTTGGAATTTTAACAATAAATATAAATAAAAGCTTTACTTAGCTAAATACCTCTAGCTTAAGCAAAACTAGATAATTTCAATTTTATACTAACAAGTTGTCATCTCTACAGTAACATATTATGTGAGTACCTGATATACCCACTTAAATTTTTTCCTCTGTAAAAAGAAAACATTTAACCTCCAGTGAATACACACTTTTAAATCTATGACTTTAGACAATTAAGGTAGTAACATCAACCAATGTCTCTGCATCAACAATTATATTGCCTACAAAGTACACAACAGATGAATACATGAATGAGTTATTTCTTATATTAAGAATTTACTGATAGTACTTAAGCCAACAGTCTAGTCTACAAATATTAATCTAAGTTACCAATAAAGTATATTACCCTTTTAGCCTGGACAGTACAGGATTCAAATCCACCAATCATATTTCTTCATGTGCTTTTAGATTATCTTAAACCTGCCCTAGAATATTATTCCCAAAGCATACACACAAATACACATTTACCTGACAGTCTTCTTCCCAGACTTTATTGTCTGGAAGTACAGACAAGAAATAAGAAAGTAATGAAACCATTGCTTAGCCTAAACAACTCACTGTCATGCAGTGTTACTCACTCTAGGAGAGTACATGTATTCTAAAAGTGTATAATTCCTTTTACCATAATCTTAAGAAATAATGTGTTTCACAAGTAAAACATCCAACAAGTTAAAACCACATCCAGTAAAGAAAGGAAAATGCCTGGCAAGCAATATGAAATATTAACTGCTCAAAACACACTAACTCCGCTACTAAAAACATTCATTGGTCAAACTGCCTTTCAAAATCTAATTAGACCAACTTTTAAATTCCCAAATCAAAATTAGGAGTTATGGCGCCCACTGAAGAATTATCAAAACCATGTCTATTACAAGTTCTCACCTACTAACAATAGTTTATCCAACCAATCTTTGACAAGCACCTGCTACATGCAAAATATTTGCTAGGAAATGCTGGGGACATACAGTTAATATAAGGATACATAATTATGAATTTCACATGAAGACAGGACAAGTATACATAAAGTAGACTATGAGTGTCATTAAGAAAAACAAAATGTCACATAAGTACATAAATGTACAAGTTTTTAAGAAAAAGGAAACCCAACCACAAATTGTAATTTAACTCAGCACATACACAGCAATCAATCCTACTGGTCTGTAGGCAATATAATTGTTGATGCAATCCTAAATATTATTTGCAAGGCCTTCAAAGAGAAGTTAATGTTAGCTGAACTGCCCTCCCAAAATGCCCTGGGATAGTGTAATTCATTCTCTGTGGGTCTTTTAATTCTGGGCTCTTGATAGAGAGGACCACATGTGATTTCTTAAAGTAAAAACTGTAACTATACAAGATGTACTGAAATCAAGTTGGCAAGAAATGAGAAGTGGCACAGCCCCCCTACATATAAGACAAATACTGTATACTTAATTGTTTTCATTCTCCAGCCAGCAATTCCCCACCCACCCCAAAGACAGGTGGACCTTTCTTACTCTCAGTCGAAAGAAGTTACTTTTTTTCATTTGTTGGTAGAACAATCTAAATAGGATTATACCTGGCTTAATATTCATATCTCTCTTATGAACATTTAAGCATTTATAGAAAAGGAAATGTTTACATTTAACCACTTCTACTACCCTAGTCTTTTTTAAAAAAATAAAACAAGTGACACACCTTACTTCAAGATCTTATTTCCTCATAAACTTTACTGTGTAAATGCTCTTAAAAATGTATTCTTTCTTAATTAATCCAGAATAACAAACATATAAAGAAAAAACCTTGTAGGTTATTGCTACAAAGTATGCTTTTTTCACAACTTACTAAGATGCAACTACGTATTTAATACAAAGGGACAATTGTGTGCCTAAAAGAAAAAAATGCACCAGCACAGAGAAACTTTCTGTGAGAAAATCGGGATCACCATGAAGAAATTCATTACAGACCCAGATGGACTTTTATCCTGCAAAATGGGATTAAAAAAAAAAGTCATTTTCTATTAAATCCCCTATAGATTTGCTATGACTCAGAAGTTGGTCCCAAAGTCCATCTTCAGCAATTACGTCTGCGTGATCAACTGTACAGCTCCTGCAACAGGTGACAGGAAACTGCGTTTCTCAGGCAAAGCAAAGGGATCAAATTGGTAAGACGCCTGTTCCTACGATTCCTTACTTTTATTTTGGATTTTACCAAAATGACTGTGAATCGGATGGATTACCACGTTCGCTTTGGTTTTGTTTGGTTTTCTGCTTGGCTTTTTAATCAGCCATTCACCAGCAACTGTGGCACGAGCCCATTAGCACTCAAGAATAAAAACAAACACAGGACCAGATAAGGCTCCCCCACTAACCCAAACTGATCTATTTCCTCAACACAACTTTAAAACCGTAAGGCTAGGGGAGGGCGAGAAGCCTGCGTCCGTGTGTGTGTGTGTGTGTGTGTGTGTGTGTGTGCCACAACCTGTCTAAATGCTCAATTCCCCTTAAGGAACAGATATATAACAAAAATCTAAAAAGAAACTACATTAGAAATGCAAAGAGTTATGCAAAACAAGAGGCTTCTTTCATTCCAAAAACCAAACCAACACAAGGGGGGGGGGGGGCGAATTGAATGCAATAGATACTTGTGCCAAAGTTTCGATCCCGCCCCACAGAGACCCTGCATTGGCACAAATTTTCAAGAGGAAAATGAGGGGGCTGGGGGCAGAGAAAGACAGCGAGCAAGTGTGTGGCCTGCAAACTGCAACAATGCAATCTCCATTTTGAACAATGCGCCTCTTTCCTCTGGTAAATCTAGTATTTTGTCACTTGATGTACCGTCGCGTTTCCCCACGGTTGGGGCGAGGTGGGGGTGGGGAGACCAGAGAGGGAGTGAGAGTGGGGGGAAGGCAGAAGCGGTGGGGAAGGAGTCCGCAGCGACTGGGCTGGGTGGGTACCTGGAGTGCTGCTATAGGTGCTATGGCTCCTGAAGCTGCTTTCCGTGCAGTAACTGGCATCGTCGTCGTCGTCTTCCATCTCCTCCGGATAATCGGAGTCATCGTCGTCCTCTTCCATCTCATCTTCCTCTTCGTCCTCGGAATCCTGGGTCTCCTCGGCGTCGCCGTCCTCCTCCTCCTCCTCCTCGGAGACCATGTCCTCCTCCTCCTCCTCCTCCTCGCTCTCGTGGTCATCGTACACCACTTTGTTGACGGCCCTCCGGGCCGGGGTGGTCCGGGCCAGGTGGCCGCCGCCGCCGCCGCCCCCGCCCCCCGTCCTGCCGCCCCCGCCTCCTCGCCCCCCCCGGCCCGGGGCGCTGGTGCTGGGGGGGGCCGGCGGCGGCGGCTTCCTTCGGCTGCTGCTGCTGCTGCCCCCCCTGGGCGAGCTCAGCCGCGTCTTGGGCGCCACCTCAGCCTGGGCGGCGGCCCACCTGCCCCGGCTGCTGCCGCGGTGCCGCGAACGGAGCCCCCCGATGGGTCCGGACGTGGGCGGTGGCGGCGGCGGCGGCGGCGGGGCCGGGGCGCAGCGCTCCGCAGCGGGAGCCGCGGGCTGCTTGGGCGGCCTGCCCCGCCGGCCCCTCATGTCGGAGCCGAGGTGGGGGGAGAAGGGAAAGCGAAGGGGGAGGGGCGGGCGGAGAGGTGGCGGTGGGGGGCGCCGAGGCCGGGTGGGGAGGCCCGCGGGGCCGGGCGGGAGGGGCCCGGCCGGCGGAAGCGGGTGGAGGGAGAAGGCTCAATCCGAATTGCTAGGGCCCCACTCCGGATCGCCTTCAGCCGCCATCTTGTTTCTTCCCTCTCGCTCGGTGACTGGGGGAACCGACAGCGGCCGCAGGCCCGGAGCGTGGTCACGTGAGCTGCGCCGCCGACGAGCCTGAGATAGAGCGAGGCCGCGCTGCGGCCGCTAGGGGGAGCGCGGGATCGCTGGGTCTAGGGGCGGGGAGCCCGGGGCGCCTCCAAGCAGTGCGGCTGGACCACGCAGCGGCGCGGACCAGAGGGGCGCTCCTTTTTGCTAAGTACCCCGCACCAAAAGCCTCAGAACACAAGTATCTCGGCGGAGCTCAGGCTGGATCCGAACTCAGCAGGGCCTCCTTCATGAGGGCAGGGGAACCCCCAAATGAATCCCCCTTTCGCCCCCTTGGGGTAACTGATGCTGAAAGAGACAGAGTATCCCGGAAGGGCGGGGGTTGGGGGTCGGCTCTAGCAACCCAGAGGACAGAGTAGTGCCAGCAATGGAGGGAAATTAACTGGGCGGGCGGGGAGACGACCCCCCAGAAATATGAAACTCCAGAGGCTTGGTTTCTCAGAGTTCTGAAATTGATACCAATGACAACCGATGGGGGTCTGTGCCAGGAACCACGGCCCAAGTGGCCAGACCTCGAGGGAAAGTCACTCAGACCCCTTAGGTTAGAATTTTCATCCTAAAAGTCTTAAACAAACTCCATAGCAAACTACATTGCTGTCTCCTACCACTTTTCCCAGTATCCCAGCTGGAACTTCACAGTTTCTCGTTTGCAGTAACTTCCGGCCTAAAACCTACTTCAAAATATGTGTTTGTGTTACCAGGAAATAATTTTAATTTCTTTACCCGACAAGTCATCTGGTCTTGACTGAGCCCAGGGAAGGAATCAAGATGATGAAATTTTAGGCATCCCCACACCAAACCAGGGGTACTCGACTCGCAGGGGTCAAGGACAATTCTAGGAGTAAGAGAAAGGTTTTATAAAAATATTAATACCTATTGAAATGTGTGAGCACAAAAAAGTGGTTTAAGGGAATATAGTTAACAGGATTCTGTCCACTGAGTGGCTTATCACAATTCAGTTACAAGGATAGAACGCGTATGTGAAATGAAAATGTAAAACGCAAGCATTAATTGTTAAATTAGTTTATTCAAGATAATATGGTGAAGCACAAAGGGTGACAAACATGCCTTCAGGGACCAGTTTAGTAATGAAAGTAAACAAAGTGGGCAAGGTGAGGACTTTGTCAAATGGAAGTGCCTGTGTTTTGCTCAAAGAGGGAAGCTGTGGCAATGTGGGCCTAAAATGGCTACATCTTCAAGTTTTTCAAGAGAAGGTGGAAATGTGCGTTGCATATGAAAGCTCATGATTTTTAAATGTTGGCAATGAAGTAAGTCAGTTTTTTAAAAACGCTTCAGCCTCGGTTGGTGTGGTTTAGGGGGTTGAGCGCTGGCCTGTGGATCGAAAGGTTTGCCAATTCAATTCCTGGTCAGGGCACATGCCTGGGTTGTGAGCCAGGTCCCCAGTGGGGGGTGTGAGAGAAGCAACCCACCCATGTACATCGATGTTCCTCTCCCTCCGTTCCCCTATCTCTAAAAATAAATAAATATTTTTTTTTTAAACCACTCCATGTTGCCCAAAACAAATGCAGTTCAGATATATCCCAGAATCTACCAGTTTGCAACCTGTGCCCTGCACTTTGTAAAGTACAGTCCCATGGACTATAGGAAGAAATATTAGAAATGGTGACAGCCTTTAGAGTTCACAAGCTGTTTGTGGAGGAAACCAATTTATCCAACGGGTTACAGTAGATGGCACAAGGAGAGGTATTTTTGTATTCTTGGTGGTTTTAATTGCAAGCAACGGAAACTGACTCTGGGACAAACAGAAAAAAAAAAACTCATTGGAAGTGTATGGACACCTCCAGAATCTCTGGGTCTAAGTGTAAATGGAATCTAAGCTCTCAAGCTGTTGTCTTCCAGCTGGCTCAGGAGCTATGTGTCCCACTGGCCATTCCACTGTTTTGTAAAGCCAGCCAGTTCTGGTTATTGGGGTCCACAATAGACCTAATGAATCTGATCTAAGGACAATCAGTTTCTTTCACTAAAGTTAGTCCCTTGGTCAGATGTTATGGACTGAATGTGTCCCACCCCCCCCCAAATTCACATTTTAAACCTCTGCCCAGCCAGTATTTCCCAATGTGAGGCCTTTGGGAAATAATTAGGATTAGATGAGGTCCTGTGGGTGGAGCCCTCATGAATGGGATTAGTCCCCTAATAAAAGCATGAGAGAGCTTGCTTTCTAGACGCTCTTAGCCATGTGAGGACACAGAAGTCGGCAGTCTACAATCAGAACCCAACCAGGCTGGCACTCTGATCTCAGACTTCCAGCTTCCAGAACTGTAAGAAATAAATTTCTGTTGCTTAAAAGACACCAATCTGCCCTGGCTGGTGTGGCCAAGTGGACTGAGCACCGGCCTGCGAACCAAAAGTTTGCCTGCTCAATTCCCAGTCAGGGCACGCACCTCAGTTGCAGGCCTGGTCCTGAGTTGGGGACATGTGAGAGGCAACCAATCGCTGGATCTCTCACACATCCATGTTTTTCTCCTTCTTTCTCTCCCTCCCTTCCCTTCTCTCTAAAAATAAATAAATAAATAAAACCTTTTTTGAAAATAAATAAAAGACACCCAATCTGTGGTGAGTTGTTAGAGCAACTAAATGTCTGTTATAAGCCACCCACGTTTTGGTAATCTGTTATAGCAGCCCGAACTGACTAAGACAGATGCCAGGCACAATGCGTAAGATGCCGTGATGGCAAATAAGGTATTCCGCAAAGCCATGGAGGAGGAGGATGGTAAAAGCATGGCTGGTGGCAAAAGCAAATCCAGATTCAGCGTAAACTGAGCCCCACACGCCTAGGTCATGGATCGGTCTCCCACATTTCTTCTGCAAATGCGCTCCAGGTCCTAGCACTCCTGTTCCTGCCACTCATGATCACACCCTGAGGGCCACGAGGGGTTGCTACAGAGGTTCCCATCAGTCCACAAGCAGGAGCATGACAGCCATCCCCTCCAGCGCTCTCTCGTGGCTACTCACGACTACTACCAGCACCGCCTGGGCTCCGTTTCCAGTAACATCTCCTGGGGAAGTGTCAAGTACGCTGGGGAAGCTAGGGAAGCCATCCCCCACCACCCTGGTCTCCCCAAAGCTGACCCAGGTCACTGGTGAATGAGCTTCTTTTTCGAGAAGTCCACAATCCCATTCATGGCCACAGCGCTGGGATCCCCAGAGCACTCAAAAGGCCTCCGGCAGCATGCCACCTGTGTCCTGACTCAGAAAGCCATGAGGAAGCCACCTGGCAGCCAGCCCAACAAAGTCAACATTGGGCCCCCATCCTGAGTGGCCACCATCAGCCACCAGACTTCCAGAAGCACTAAGCTCTTTTGAGTCCTTCCCCCAATGCCTTCTTCTCTACCCCTTCCCCCTCCTCACCCCTCCCCATAGACTAGGTAGGCTGCAGCAAGCAGAAGCAGTTGGGTTCTTTTATATATCAAAAGAGCAAAAGACCAAAAAGGAAGTTGAGAGAGCCCCACTCTTTACTATCCAAGCCACACGCAAGCCTTCCTGACACCCCATAACCGTGTACCTTGTGTCAAGTGGAAAATAAATGACAAGCAGCCAGAAAAAAAATTTTTCAGTATAAACTTCTTCCCAATGTGGTTGACTCACTGTACATACCACCCCACCACAATAGGAAAGATCCGTTATAATGATTAATTCTAAAATGAGCATTCAGTAGTGGCAATATCCAGGTAAGCCTTGCCAAGGAGAAGCCCATGATGAGCTCGTGACCCCAATAAGTAGGCACTGGCTTGACTAGGGAAAGAACTTGCCCTACATATATCTATACAGTGGGTCCTTTCTTTTCTTTTCTTTCCTTTTTTTCCCTCTTTTGAGAGAGACAGAGAGAAACATCAATTTGTTGTGCCACTTACACATTCATTGGTTGATTCTTGTATGTGCCCTGGCAAGAGATTGAACCCACAACCTTAGCATAATGGGACATTGCTCTAACCAACTGAGCTACCCAGCCAAGACAGGGTGGGTCTTCTTGTCCACCAACTTATTAAAGCTTCTTTAGCAGTGAAGATATTTTGATAAGTATTCATACGGAACACAAATACTCTCCAGGTCTGTTCTAAGACATTCATCTTCGTCCTTTCTCCCAAACCTCCTTTTCACCAAGCTAAGTCCTTGACCACCTGGCTCATGAACTGGGGCAGAGTCTTTCTTGAGGCAAAAAGAACCACAAAAGTAAAACTCAAAGCTCTGCCCCCTGAGACTATTTCCTTTTGCCATTGTCCTTTCAAGACCTTGCCTAGTATAGCTGTAACACCTTAGCAGTCCCCCGCAGGGGGATACCACCTGTAAACCAAGCACAAATGTTGTCCTCCTTAGTCACCTGGTCATGGGGATTATCCATGAGGTTATGAACTGAGGGAGAGGAGGCAGTAAAATGGGAGCATGTACATGGGTCTTGCATGCTTGCACCTTCTCCAGGACCTGATCAGATCTGCTCTCTTATATTCCATGTCCTCTCAGGGAAGGGAGTGCTCCTGGACACTTTATGGTCAAGTGGACAGATACTTAGTTCATGATAAACTATATGGATCACATAGTCCCCTGGTAGTCCATGATCAGGCTTTCAATCTTTGGAAGGGCCCAGGAACAATTTAAGAACAGTTTCCAAAAAGAATAGTTATTAGCCAAAAAGAGCAAGGCTTCGCTCTAAAATCCTAAACTCAACCATTGTGATGCTCTTCGGTGACTTGCCATGGGCTCTGCACAGCATTCCAGCACGTGGCTGTACACAGAGCACCACTGGACCCACTGGGATCTGAGGACCAATTAGCAGAGCTCCGTGCCCTGCAGCCTGGACCTGCTGAAGAACCTTCGCTTGCTCTGTGCTGTGGCTTAATGTTAGCAAGCTCTCAGGTCACTTGGAAAATGGGTTAAAGCAGCACATAACGGTGTGGTATGTGTAGTCTTCTAA